AAGTACTGAGGCAACACCTCCTAGAAGAGAAGGCCATAGCGCTCTTCTCGTGACGTCGCGAAGGAAGGCCATCGGGGGCGCGCGTCGAAGCGAAGGCAACGCGCGTGGATCGACCGTCGTAACACGCTTTTAGTCACATACGCGTGTCTTATTAGCTAAAATCATCAAAAAGTCCCGCATTTCACACTGTCGTAAAATTCACTCCGCAACTCATGGTGCTGCCGAACAACGGGGCACACGCGGGAAAGCGCGGAGGTCGCATGGTAATCGTGTGAATCGCAATGATGCGCCATTTTCTATCCAAGCATTGCGGGAAGCAACCTTCGCTCTTGCAGGAGGTCCGACGGGCATGCGCCGTTGTGCCTCTCTCTTTTGTGGCAAAATATCGTAAGAAAAATTGCTCGCCAAAAGTTTAAATATAACATATTGTACTAATTTTCAAATTGCTGTGTCAATGCAAAAAGTTTGCTGTGGATGTTTTTTTTTTTTTTTTTTTTTTTTTAGTGAACGCAGCCACATTTGCAGCGGTCGAAAAAGACCATAATGTTAAAACACTGTGTATGACCATGTTGATAAAAGTAAGTGTTGGCAGGAAACAATAACCCGAAAAAGATTTCCTGTTTCTTATTTCCATTTCACGCATTGAGCTCTGATACAGTCGATTTTTATGTTTTCAACTTCGACACATTTAATAACATGTTTGGCATTAAAACAAATATACCACTGGGAGTGCAAATTATTTGAGCTTAACTGCTGCCATACAATTAGCAGGTGTATAAACAGTGCAGGATAATAAATCTGTTAACAGAGCCTAGGTTCGTTGTGTGCGTGTTAATATATTTCCTCTAACCCCCCCCCCCCCCCCCCCCCCCTTGCCCCGCGTGTCCCGCATTTCGCTAGGTCACCCTAAGCAACGGGTCTAGAAAACATTTTATTTCACAGGCAAAATATTTCACCGCTAAATTATCGGTATGAAATGGCACGAGGTAGTCGTATAAGAGAAAACCTTGAGTCACGCAATTATTGCTGTAGGAATGCATATTTTGAACAGAAATACTTCGACAAAATGGCAAGACTCAGCGATTGGACACAGCAAAACAGATCACAGTTAAAAATCAGGTAGACATTGTCGACGTGGATACGGCTAGACAAGGGTCACTTACGATCATGCAAGCGATGTTATCGCGTGCAGTCACTGAATCCTTGCATTATAGCCCGGCCACATGGCTGAAGTAATGTAATTTCGATCGAATGACATTATGGGGTCGACAAATCAGCTTGCGAAGCGGTCACGACGCCAACTGCTGCCAACGAACGAGCATAGGCGCCGAGAGCCGGTGTCATTAGCAGACGATCTTTTCGACTCAAAAGCGGTATGCGTTCCGCAGGCGGCGAGAGTCGCAGAACCAAAAACAGGCGCGGTAAGAGCAGGAACTGCGAAGCAAACGACATAAGTACCCCGAAAGAAACTGTCTAAATAACCCGACAAACCATTGTTTTAATCGCTGATGTGTCCAATCAATGCGTTTTATTAGTAAGGATGAAGAAATCATGCATTGGCATCTAATATCGAAAAAGCTCGCGCCGGCCGCTTTCGGGTCGAAAAGATTGTCTGCTAATGACGCCGGCTCTTGGCGCCGTATGCTCGTTCGTCGGTGGCAGTTGGCGTTAGGGAGTGCAAGTCCGGTCTCAGCAAGGAGGTTAGAAGTACTAGGAGAGGGCACGTAGCAATATTGGTGAATCCTAGTCATAAAAAGTTTAAACGATGTTGTGGCCAACGTGACCGAAAACCTCTCTGGCTATTGGTGCGCGTGATATGTCACGTGTGAGATGGATGGTTGATTGTAGAAGGCCTCCTTGCAGGCTTGCGCGCGTTCCGTCCGGTAGGTTTTATCAGATCGAAGGCTAGCCTGTGGTGAATTCTAGTACCCCATAGCTAGACGAAGGCTAGCTACGGTCACGTGACGTGGTCACGTTGGCGTGGTAAGTCAGGAGAGTAAGGAGGAAAATGAGAAAGAGGCGAGGCGTCAAGGGAGCATGGCTTGTGGAGGCTACACGACTGTCGTCATGCCCTCTCCTACGCTTCTATCCTCCTTGGGTCTCAGGGTGCCGCCATCTTGCCCGGTGGGGTGCGCTTGGGGGCGGCCATAATCCGATTATGACGCCTTAGCAAGGCTTTGTAATTGGGTTAGGACGCGTCCAAGCGCACCCCAGCGAGCAAGATAGCAGTGCACTGAAGCCGGACTTGCAAACGTGTATACACGTTTGCAAGCCCGGACTCATGGCGCCGCCATCTTCCTCAGTGGGGTGCGCTCTCGGGAGCGGCCATAATCCGATTACGACGCCTTAGCAAGGCTTCGTAATCGGATTATGACTGGTCCAAGCGCACCCCAGACAGGCAAGATGGCAGCGCCCTGAAGCCGGACTTGCAAACGTGTATATAAAAAAGAAAGGTGGGTGCAACTCAAAACCTGGAGAGCGTTTACATTCAATGGCGGCGCCTGAGAGAGAGGATTGGGAAAGGATATGCGCCAATGTTGCCTACACGATAGCAGACGGCCGCTGTTGCAACTCTTGCTCCGATGCGCCTTTCCTCCTCCCGCCTTCCATTGTAAGCAACGTTACTAAAACACTCAGTTGAGAAACTCGCCGTCGAAACCTGGGCCGCTGGCGTCCACCGAGACTGAGCTAAATGCGACAACAGCGCCACTCTTTGTCACTTGTCTGTACTGTGGTCACTTTGAGCTTTTTGAAAGCCTGTTTTTGCGTAAAAACAAACGGAAAAGACTTTTTGTATGAAATTTATTGGAGTTTAGTACAAAAAGAGGGGCGCATTATGTTTTTAAAATCTTTAGTTTGCAGGGTTTTGCGGCACAATTAATATTGTTTTTAAACAACCATCCCTCAGCGGCCCTTTCAGGTAGCGCGTCCCGACCTAGGTGCATTTTAACTTCGGTAGGTCGACGCGGTGCGTCCGCCGGGGAGACGGGGGTGGCGCCCTTGTAACCTCTTCCACTGTATCTGTTCTTAAAGCCAAATTAGGAGTCACGTGCAGTTCCTCGAGTGGCCGCTGCGGGAGAAATGGTGGAGTTGTGTTCGTCATTAGCTCGGTGCTCGGAGACAGATTGGGGCCACTTTTTCAAAGCTGTCTCTATGAGAGTTTCCCAACTGAGTGTTTTAGTAACGTTGATTGCAAGCAACGAACGCCTTGGCGTAGCCTTTTTCGCTTCCTTCTTGCTCATAGAAGAAAGCAGGGTTGCCAGATGTAGTGATTCCTCGTCGCCAAAATGTAATAATTAAAAGAAAATGCGTACACCCGTGAAAATAAAGAAGAGCAGGGCCTGCGTGGGCCTGCGGAAAACGAGGGGTCTTACATGCCGAAGAGGTGAACGGCGGGCCGGGCGCGGGAGCCCCGGACAGAGAGAGAGAGAGAGACGTCCGGCGAAATCGGTGGTTGAATCGTAACTAGTTTATTTAACGGTCAACAATGTGGGGTTGAGCGCCACGGGGACGCAACCCTGTTAACACGGGCAATGGTGTAACGGTGGCGCCATCTAAGCAGTGTGGCGAAATATACTTAAATGAAAAAATTGAAATACTACACCAGACAAGCAGCAACGTCCAAGATGTAACTTACCACTTTTCGCGTTAAACAAATACTTAACCTAACGGAACAAAACTGGTGGCTACGGAAAAGTAATCATTTTCACCTTGCGTAAATTATTCAAGCACATTAATGGGTTCTTATGACCCGAGTTAGGAAATATAACGCCCCTTTGCCTGATAGACACCCAGCCCGTGATCCCCGTTCTAGCAGTTGCACCCACCCTCACTTGAGCCTCCCTACTGAAATAGCATTGAAAAAGACCGCCCGCCGTCCCCGGGAATGAAACCCTAGCCCGCTACACGCCAAGCGGAGACGTTACCATTGAACTATACCACAGCATTGTTTTGTTTTGTTTTTTCGATGTCTTGTTACAGGTTTTGAAAGCTGTCAGAGGATAAATAGTTCCCCTCGATCAGCCACGCAACCCGGTGAAGTTTTGCAGAAGCTTGGGTTCACATTCACCGAGCACAAAAGGGACTGTGTTGATAGAGTGCATGAAACTCGTGGTCTGGCGTGCGACGTACATCCGGAAAATCAAGCAGCATTGCCTATACAACAGGTCTCCCTACTACGTCGAAGAGACCTGGGTTAATTAACACTGGCCACCACGGTCTAAGATTTGGATGGGTACTTCTGTGGAGACGCCAACTAATGCCTTCAACAAGAGCTTCCCAGTCTGACTCTAGAATCCCTCTGGGAAAGGAGACTTACGGTGGCCCAAAGTGGCGGCTGACAGAACTCTCAAATATGTGGAGCTCTATGGTGCCTTACCGAAAACTTACAAAAATGGGCCCCATGTTTGCTACATTTGGGAGAATAAGCATTTGGCGATGCATAGTTCTTTTACAGCGAAAAAATCTTACATTTTTGGGGGGACACACAGCACTTATGTAGTTGTGCAACTGATTACTACAGCTTCTTATGGTTCCTACTCGCAACATTGCAACAAGAATTATCTGTTATAAATGACAAGTTCAATGGTACATGTAGAAAGCACAGTGGCAGCTCAAAGCAATCACATTCTCAAATTAATCCACAAATGCAGAATTAAATCCCCTGAAGGTCTTGCAGAGCATTTGACGGATCGTAAAAGGCAGGGGGTACAAGGCCTCGGGGGTCAATCTCCCGCCTTCCGAACGAGCCTCGTACCGCCGCGAGATTGTCCATCACTACTGCATAGTGCACGTTAGAAGCTCCGGGCTAGCAGTCGTATACTGCACTGCCTAAACATCCTCGGCCAAGACACCAGACGCCCACTGAGGAAGACCGGCCATCTACACATACGTACAACACAGTCCACTCCTGTAGACCAGAGCAGCAGCCCTCTCGCAAGCTGCAGCACAGCCCCAAAGCAGCCTTGCGTGCCCACCGTGCCCGAGCAAAACCACCCAAAGGAGAAAAAGGAAAGCACTCGTTTATTAAGTCTCAGTAAAAACAGCATTCATCCAGCCAAAGTGCACTTGAAGCAGGGGCCATTCTAAACACTCCCAAAACATTAGTAGAAAGCCGAACATTTAAAACACCCACAGGTCCCCGGTATGTACAGTGGCGCCTCCGGCGGTCTTCTAGACGGACTGGTAGCCCTTCTGACGGCTGCGACTGCGTCCTACCAGGTAGGCCAGCAGCACAATCACCACCAGGGCAGCCAGGGCAGAGCCCACCGCTATGGGCACAATGTTGCTGATGTCGTTGTTCTGCACACAGTGCACCGCTGCAACGAGAGAAAACAAGTGCCAGTCAGCACACCCTTGGCCCATCCATAACTGCCCTCCCCCGTGCTCCCCAAAACTGTCGTTGCAAGCCGGTACAGCAGGTAGCCAGAGGAGACTGCAATCTGGCAGTGGGCTCGACAGGACAGAGTTTCTTCCATGGTCAACACACTGAAAACGATTCACCTGAGCCGAATGACCGATTTTCATTTAATTTAATTTATTTGACCCTTAACTAGCAGCGGTGGCGCAGTGCAATGGTGCACAGGTCTACCACGTGACTGACTAGTGGTGGCTCCCAATAGTGCCAACTACAAATTCGTTTCGTGCTATAAATATAGCTTCAGGAGATTTCTTCCGTTGTAAATTTATTTTATGACATCCTTTTCCCATCCCAACTGTTTAAAAAAATTGTTTTTCCTTTGCACATGTTTTTTTAAGTTCCAGGCACTACCAAGAATTGCAAGACAATATAGGGTAGACCATATCAACCAGAGGTCACTGGCAAACAGTCTTTCCCTCAACTCATTAAAATGCTCAGTCATGCTGGTGACACACAGGAAGATTGCCGACAGCCCGCCGATGCAGACTTTTGCAATCGCTGTAATGACGACAATAGCCGAACCATAACAATGTCTGGAACTCAGTGTGTGTCCAGTGCCTTGCCAACACCAGCGTGTGGCTATGATCAACGTTGGCGGCATATAATCAGCTCCAGATCGTGTGTGTGCTTGTTTTGGCAGCGAGTTGAAAGGGCAAACGCTGCTCTTTTTTGCTCAACTTTTTCTGAGACTTCGACTGCATGTGGTGAAAAACGTGCGAGTGTTTCATAAGTCAACATCAAGAATACATTCTGAGCAGTATTCGCGCAAAGTACAAAACTTCTTGTATCACTCCTTTAACCTTCCCCTTTTCTTTTTCATCATTGTTATTTTTTGCATTTTCTGTACTCATGTGTCATCTTTTCCCTTCATATTTGCATACATGCATGTATGTATTGTGTTGTGCTTTCTACTTCTATAGCTTACCTTTATAAACAAGGAGTCATACCTTCTGCTATGGGCCATTGGCCTTCTGTGACTGCCCAGCTCTCATAAAGAACTCTTTCCTTAACTCTTTCCAGCTGCACCCATAAGTCGTAGATCATCAGTGATCAATGGTTTCCAAGCGCCGCCAAGAAATTAAGTTTAGTGCAGAGAATTATGTTCCACAATCTTGTGGATAGCCAAAGAACTGAAGTTTCAATTTCAACTTAGGTTTGAGCCTTATCACAAGCTGGTGGGCTGTCAAAAATAGTCCTGGGAATGGTGGTTGCACCTGTCTAACACGGCAAACTGCTTGCATCGGTCTCCATAACAAAGATGGCAAGATTTACACAGCTCAACCGTATTGTGGCATATTTTTTAGACCTCAACAGCTCTGGGGACGCTTGAAATGATGGTATAGGCATTGCTTAACAGATGGTGTCGGTAAGCATCACTTAAATTTCCAACGCTGTTCTGAGCCGGCGTGCATGTTTTATGTTCCCAACAAGGTGGACGAAAATGCTAAATATGAAGGAAGTGCAATTAAGGCCAAACCAAGGTAGAACAGAAAGAAAGCATTCTGCTAGGGGTGTGAAGTGTACTATCTCTGTTTCATCAATAGAAGCACTCCTTCATTGAAAAAAGCACATGTCATGGAGGCCAACTCTCCGACGAACCAAAAATAGACATCATTTGGAGCACAGCAACTTCCAGGTGGTAATAGCTGTGAGTGTGGGGCACGTTTTGTATATTCGAAATTTTTATTTTATCTGTTGTTTAACTTGAATAGCTGCAGAAGTGTCGACGTTTATATGCCTTCTGCACATACATTGCATGTTAAATGTTAAACAATAGAATTTTAAAACCTTTTCCCCACATTATAATGACCTCGGCCTTTTTAAAAGAACAAGTACTTGACCATGTTTTGACGTGTCACGTTGCTCCATACGCAAACTAGTCAGGAAAATAGAAGCGTTTGCACGAATCCTTTTAAAATTGCTACTTTTCCCGTGGTTAAGAAAGAGCTAAAAATGAAAAGACAAATCTAGGAAATAATCACTATACAATAATGAGTTTTGTTCAGTCACACAGTCTAACAGAAAATTGGTGAATAACAAACTGCCGCTTGCGGCTTTCTGTACATTGCACGATCCCCTAGTAAACCCTTCAGAAGAAATTCAGTTCGCAGGCTCCTTGCACTCGCAGAACGGTCTGCGACGCGGGACATGCAATGCGAATATCCCGCCGAATGTTCAAAAGAGGCATTCCTGCGAGCCACTCTTCAATCGTCTTCGCCCGCAGCCACGTCTTCGAGCGAAGAAGCGTCAAAAATGTGTGCTCCGCCGAGGCGGCACTGACCGGCAGGGATGCTAGAATTAGTAGTAGCGTTCGCACATTCGAGTGCACATTCCCCGTCGCAAGCATCGAGGGAGGAAGTTGGAACATCAGGATTCAGGCGGAGAAGCCGCATGTAAATTGGCCACTTCCAGCAAACAGATGTGCTCTTCCATTATACGAATAAACTATAAAAAGAAAATAAACGAGTGAAGGGGTTTTGGAAGGGGAAGATGGGGTGCCTCTCCCCTTAATATTGCCACTGAACAAAGCTATCGATAAATTCTTGTCTGCCATCTTTGCAATGTCCGAACGAGCTCGGCATCTCGTCTGGTAGAGCTTCCACTCTTCCTTCTCGGAGTCAAAACGTCCCGAGATCATGAAACTGCCGGCGTCCACCGCGCTTCGGTCGTCGCAGCTGCCTTTCCTCGGGGGTCCCGGGTCCTCATCGCCAACGCGACCTTGTCGGATCGGCGCCAGGCGCCTTTAACCGTGCGTACCGTCAGGGCATTCGCAGAACAGACTATCGAGGCCCCAGAAACGCCGCAAGAAAGCCGACGGTGCCCGGGACGGCGATCGCAGCCGTTTACAACACCAAGGAACCCTTCCTAGTCCATCGAGGCACCGACAGAATAATGCAGAATCTCTGGTAAACAATACACTAGGGAGTGTTCAGCTCGATCAAATAGAACCGGTTAACTATCTTAGTTATCTGGGAGCTCCGCGAATGCACAACGATATTCTTTCCCAGGTTCTTAGAAACCCGTCCAAAGAAGGTTTTAAGAGAAGGCACAACTCCCGAAGGATGTTGTCAAAGTTTTATTCCTGTAGATAAAGTATTTACTTCTAAATAAATTATTTTCACCGTACCGGCGGCCGAGCACGCTTTGTAGAAACGCTCGCGGTCGCACAAATTTGCCATTCTCGAAGCATGCTCGCTCCGCTCCTTTTGGTGTAGAGCTCCTTGCGAGACATTGTGCACACGAACCGTGAAACCCCATACAAAACAACACTGCATGCTCTCTAATCGGCCACACTGGCGAAGAAGGAACTCAGATTCGCTCGAACCTGCCACGTGACTACATACCCCATGCAGCGTGGAGAGTATGCAAGCCTCCTGCCTTCATACTCCACTGACGAGGAGCCAAGGAACATCGCTTGTTCCACTGGGATGGACACCTGATGTCCCATGAACCGAAACAAACCCCGAGTAAGTGGGAGAATCACCAGCATCTCAGCCACACAAGCCAGCCTTCTCCAAGAAGATAGCGAAGGAGCTAGTGCCCTTGTGAAACTGCTTGTCAAGGAGGGATTTGTTCGAAAGATGTTCCCAGATGAAAACCCACACGTCAATGACTCTTTCAACATCTTGATTTGGAACAGGAGCCCAAAGGTAGAATCTGCTTCTCTAAGTACTGTCGAGTGTGCCGTGGCTCTTGCAGTCTTGGAGTTCAACCTGGGTCCTCGAGAAAGTTTTTTTGGAGATGGGCATTGAGCCAGGGAGCCACTAGACATCACAAGCCACAAAGGCCACTCAGACAAAAGTTACAAAGGGCCGAGTGAGAGCACTCAAATCCTCCAAGGCTTCGTGCAAGAGAAGAAAGATGGAAGCTGTGGCCAAAGCACAGAAAGACCGTGCAAAGGAGGAACCGACATAATCCTGGAGCATTTTAGGTCAAGTGGCAGGTGCCATCTAAAGTAGAACAAAATTTTCAAGCGAGTTTTCCTCAGCTTCATGTTTTGACCATTCTTTCATTGATCAAAAAACCATCGTTCGATGACTGAAGTACCCTTCATAACTGCTGTGCAGTTCTTTCTAGAGTGAAATTTACTGGAGAACTCAACTATTTGCTTATTCTCTCGAGATTGTTACTTTTGAGAAAATGTTGACTTTTGTAACAGTAAGAAAATTATTGAAATAAACAGTTTTCAAAGTCAACTTTAACGCTAAGTATGACACTCAACATTATTTGGAACTCATAACTGATTAATCTAGTCCAGGGGTGGCCAAGCTGCGGCTCGCGAACCGCATGCAGCTCTTCCCACGATACAGTGCGGCTCACGGCTCCCTCCGCAACCTCCCCCCCCCTCCCAGGCCTCCCTGCCGGTCACACGAGCACGTCCCCAAAAAGAGAAAAGGAACGCGTTTTAAATAGAAAGGCAGGTTGCGGTTTGGTAGTCTTGTGCTACTGGCTTACGTACAGTTGGACTGCTTTTGACTCTGTTAGACTGAAAGTAGTTAGAGTTTCTTTTGATTGCTATGAACAAAAACTGCTGCCCCCCCCCCCCCCCCCCTTGCGGCTCTTAGGCCGGGTCAGCCTGGCCACACCTGATCTAGTCACTTATCCTTATATCCAAGCAAAAAAACTGGGACATTTTGGTACTTTTGTGCAACAAGTTTTTCTCCTCTGCACTACTATAGTTGTATAATATTTTTGATGTACGAAATTTACCTTTTCAGCTGAACTTTGGTGTAGCCTCCCAAGTTTGCATACCTAGTACACCCTGCCAATTTCATTGAAATAGCACCAGTACTTAAAAAGCAGTCCTTCCAAGGGAGTGCCTCCTTTTAAACACTCCAAAGTGCAAAGAGCACGGTCGGAGCAACCCTGGGCAAACTCACCGCTGCCAAAGCCCTCGGGCTGCACGGTGGTGTTGACAAATGCCTGCAGCTGCACGTTGAGCACGTCCAGGGTGGTGTTGCCACCCAGGGGCACGGGGGAGTCCGCCCCGCACAGGTACGACCGGCCCTGCTCCACCCCGAACAGGTGCAGGCTCTCATTGCCCACCTTCACCAGCTCCCCTGCGCAGAGACCGCCACCGCTCAAGACGCCGTTCGAGAGGCGGTGACCGCGGTGGCCATCTGGTCCGAGAGTGTCACCCGGGTTGCGAGGGGCTTTTTCCCAGGATGGCATTCCGCTTCGCAGGAAGGAAGCAAAGAAGGAAGCAAACTGCTCCGCGCACAGAAAAGAATTTGAGTGCGGCCGGGCAACCACTCGTATCTACGATCGTACCATTAATATCGCAAAATAAAACGTCCATAAAGTTGCAGACGGAAGCGGAACGCAGCAAGTCCCGAACGCCAACATCAACAGTCATTGGCGCTCGCCTCAGCCCCCCCCCTTTTCAGGGAAAGGGGAGGGGGTTGAGGTGAGGGCTTTGCGGACCTTAGTTGAGAACCACTGCTCTAGATTATTACATTAACCCTACGGTGTCTGCGACTCTTGAATTGTGCATTAGCGGTGTGTCTGCAGCTTAAAACATAAAACTCAAATGCTATTTTGGGGAATGCTGGCCAAATCGCTCCTGCAAAAAGCATGCATTGTGCAGGAAAAGGGTCCTATTGGTCTCTATCAGATGGACTAGTTAGGAAAACTAACCATGTTGGGTGTAACTTGGCTTTCTGCCTACTTTCGAAAAAGTAACTTCTTAACTAGTAAATTGAAAGGCTCGATTTTATTTAGGAACTTTCTGGGCACTCTCCAGCACCGCTGAACGAGGCACACTTTACAAAAATCTAACAACAAACAACACATTTGGCAGTTTTACGTGCCAAATCAACGAAGGGCACGCCGCGGAGGAGGATTGGGGATTACTTTGGACCGCCTGGAGAGCTTTTGAAGTGCAACCGAAATCTAATTCTCTACAAAGAGGGGCCCCTCGACCGGATATTCTGACACCCGGGGATCCACAGGCTGGCGCTGTCCAAGCTTCTACAAAAATGTGTTACGAAAAAACGCTCAATACAAAAGCGCTTAGGAGTTTCAGTTTCTTAAAGCACATCTTCGCATCGACGGTGCCTCTACCCAGTGATGAAAGTGCTCAACTAACATGCACCACCATGCATTCTTTGTACGACTGATGTAAACTGAAGAATCAAAGCTAATTCTCACCATACGACTCGAACGGCACATTGCTTCATTTCGCAGTCTCATACCACATCTTTCTATACAAGGGAGGTGGCAGTTGCACGCTTTGTTCGAGGGGGCCAGACCGCCTGTGCAGAGATGAACTCTGATAGGAAAATAAAAACCTAGAAACGCAAGCATTTTTTTTTCACAACTTCATAAAATGCAGCATGCCTTATATTTAGGGTTCGGAGTTTTCGGTTTAAACCGATAAAAACCGATAAAAGTATGCCGAATCCATTTTCGTAAATTCGGTTTTAACCGAAAAAGGTCAGGTTTTAGGTTTGGCCTTTTCGATTTAAACCAATAAAAACCGATAAAAGTACGTCTAATTCATTTTCTAAAATTCAGTTTTAACTGGAAAAGGTCACTGTGACCTTCCAGTCGTACCGCAGAGCCTTGGCGAAAAAGGGGAACGACAGCGTCTATCGAAACGTGTCCGAATGTATGGGATACACGTATGCCATCACGACTTTTTGGTTTAGTGTGCGCATCATCGCACATTAAATCAAAACGTGAAGTTCGAAATTCTCCATGACTTCGCCATGTACGAGCGTGTTTTCAAACTCGCTGTGAGAAAAACTGACTTGACGCAAGCTTTGCATGTTGTGTTGTGCTTCAAAACGCCGCACGGTGTCTCTTTTCGCGGTCACAATTGGTTGATTGGCCGATTTTGGCTCAGGTGCGCTTCACCTCCTCAGCCGGCCACTGTCCAGTGTTAGCGTTAGGAGGGCATTCTCGAAGCTCAGGGTCATATTAACAGGCAAGAAAGGGTGCGGATCAACGAGGAGAACCTGGGAAAGTACATGTGTGTGTACTATAATAAGATCACGTAATCCTGATGTACAAAAGGTGAAGTTTCATGTTATTTCGGCATAGGCTTTGTATCTGACTTGCTTGTACTTCTGTTGTTGTTTTCTTGTTTCCTTTACAGTTGCACATATTTGCCAAATAAAGTGTCCGTTTATGTTTCAATGTATCTGTGCCGTTATTCTTTGAGTGATCACAAATACCAGAGTTAAAAGGACCATCTTATCCGGTGTCCGTTGGTGTTCGTTTTATATTCACCGAAAAAAGCCGTTAAGCTTTTGTGGGCATAAATATACGCCGAAAAAAAACCGAAAATTGAGTTTTAAAATAAACACCGAAAAAAGTACGCCGAATTTTGAAAAAATAGAAACCGAAAACGAGGAACCCTACTTATATTTCTGTAAAGTGTACCAATTTAGTAGTTTTAGACGATGCCCAGAAAGTTTCTAAATGAAACCACGGCTTTATATTTACTAATTAAAGAGGTGTTGATATGAAGTTAGTTAGGAACTTAATTATATAGAATGTTATTAGTTTTCCTAAATAAGCCCTAAGGGTGGGACCAAGAGGACATCAACCTTTTATTTGTGTTGCTCCCTTTTCAGAGGAGTGATTTTACCATTTTTTTGTGAAACAGCCTGTATAGCTAGAACGTTCCTTATAGAAGCCCAAAAACTAGCATAACAAGTGCTTGTCAATGGATATATTCTTACACGAAGTCCAAAAAAATCTGTCGACTCCCACGTACAAAAAGCAGGCCAGCTCGCTCGCTCGAGAAATGACTGCATCATTCAATATCTATAAGCGGGTGCAGCAGCAAGCGGGTGAATAAGAGTGGAATGGAAGAAAGCTGGTGCCTGCAGGGGTATGGGAAACGCATGCCTACTATGCAGGACTGCCCTGTCCTCCCGATAGCAGCCTGTGCCTTTGGGTGAATGGTTTTTGCTACTTTTAACGACCGTTAGCATCCTAAGAGACACGCACGTGTTATTGCCTGTCCACAAAGACGGGCAGCCGCAGCGTTTCCAATTTCTTCCCCACTTTGCTTCTTTTGAGTCACATACCCCCCGTGATGTTAAAAAAAGTATTTGCTTCATTACTTTCAAACTCTGTAGTCTTCTTTTTATCTGGCACTTTCTCGGGGTCTTTGCCCGAACAGGAGGATGTGCCAAAACATGCGCTGGGCGTCTCCAAGAAAGGCTGACATCTGCACCAAAATTCTAGCCAGCGTGTGTCCCAAAACAACAGGAACGGTGCACAATAGAAACTGCTTGCCGAGTGCTTACTCGTCCCTGCTGCTCAGGATGAGTAGAGGCGAGAGATCTGTTTTCGGCACTTTACGACTAAATGGTACATATCTATGCACTTTAAGGAGTAGAGCGTATTTGTGTACTTACACGTGATATTGTATTATATCCACGTTAATGGGGAGTGCAGGTTCATCTACTTCTTTTGCAGGTGTTTTGGTTATGTCAGAAGGCCGAGTTCCGATTTAAGGATAGAGGGTACACCTCAAAGTAAGCTGTCTTGAGGTCTACCCACTATCCTTCTATCTAAGGCAATCGGAGCTCAATGTTCCGACGTCACAACACCCCCTGCAAAAGAAGGAGCAGACAAACTTTCACTCCGCATTGATTTCACTTTGGGAAGCTTGTGTCAAAATAAATTGGATACAGATATTAAAGACTGTCGACGATGCATTTTTCATTTTACCAGATCATTCCCACCTAAGCCAGTTTTTCTTCGCGGAAAAATGGCAACCCTGGGCAATCGCTCGCTTCTCTCTGGGACCAAGAACGGTCCCACTCTTGGTGGACCATGTCGCTGCAACCACAGTATCGTACACGAGCCGACAGAAGTGCCACAAAGGCACTCTGCACTGCATCCAAGAGCTCTCGCCCTTCTACCCTCTCGGCAAAGGGAGCACCTGCAGCGGGCCTCCTGCGGCACTAGGAGCAAGCACTGCCATTCCCTTGCAGATTATGGTCCATGGGTTGCAGAGCCGCTTGCGCAGCAGTCACACCTGCCCTTCTAGCCCACCGGAACGTCCAGGCAGCAGCCCCTCCCCGAGCAACCCTCACCCTGGTGCTGGGCGTCCGGGAAGTGCACCGTGTCCAGGACGTACTCCGCCACAATGCCAGACAGGAAGTTGGTCTCGTTCTTGGTGAAGGTCATGCTGAGCAGGCTGGTCCCACACCTCAGGGCCAGCGTCTGCTCCGAGTGGCCGCACGAGCTGTTGGCCGGGTCCACGGTCGTCGTGTTGTCCAGCACCAGCAGGGCATCCCTCCACTGCGAGTGAAGCGAAACCGGTGGGGTACCAAGATTGCCACTAAACTCCACAGAGAAGCACACATTTACCCACGCCCTATGCGCCTCCAACCATTGTGCCTGCTGCATTTTTATTTTAAATGCTTTATGAGTCACACGAGAAAATCTTCCCTGACAAGCGACACGTTGGAAGTGTTATAGTCCATTGCAACTCAAGAAGGTAGGGCGAGGGAAGAAAGGCCTGCAAGGAGGAAGCAGATGGACCGCTGGAGGGGAGAGGGGGAAACCTCTCCAGCATTCGGTCTGCTTCCTCCTCCCCGGCCTTTTTCTCGCCTTACCTTCAAGTTGCAATGGACTATGGACGACATTAAAGGGACACTGACACCCCACAAAAATTTTTTTTCAATCTTTACCAGGCGATTTATAATGGTTGTCGAAAGACTACCCAATTAATAATTTGCTACAGAGTCATGTATATTTTTAATAAAGCCAAAAAACGCAACTGCTCGAAACCGAAACCTGCACACGGAGGAAGGAGAAGTAGAGAGGAGAGAGTGAGTGGCAGAAGTCGCATAGCTATACCCAACTGTCACCCTTTTTTTTTGCACGCAGCAGACGACATGTTTTGCAGAAACCCTTTTTATACACTGAAGAGTTGGAAATGAGTAGCGAGTGCCCATGGTGAATTCCCGTGATCGGCTTCGAAAGGAATACCCCCAAGATGTTGCGTGAAGAGCCGCCTCACATGTCCTGAATCTGAAAGTGTCATTGTGTGGCAGAGTCTGCACAAGTTTCCGAAAGATCAATGGGATCGGGACCAATGGCTGGTTGCAATTGCTGTAAAACAGTTATGGGCACCTCAGAAAGCGGACACTACCGATTCATATGTTTCTCGCATTTTGTGGAAGGTGACTACATGAGTTTGCAGGTGTCGAAAAAGAAATCCCGTACCATTTAGTTCAGTGGCAATTCATCCACAACATTTGTTTTTTTCAGCAATAATTGTAAAAAAAAGCAATGCAAATATCACAAAATGTTGGACAAAAAAACTGTATGCCCACACCAGGGTTTGAACCCATGTCCGCTGCGTGTGAGGTGGACATCTTTCCACTGGACTACAGGGTGAACTTTTCGTAGTAATGCAGCCGGCTGTAGGTCGGAAGTTTGCTACCGATTTCCCTCCAGCAAAGGCACTCCCGGCTAGAAGTTCGGCAGCACCACGCACTGGCCACATTCGTACCTGGTAGAAATCGTATGTGTGCATATTTAACTCGAAGTACGCACTTCGTGCTTGATCTTTGAGCGAGCGATGTCTTCAGCCACGTGAAGAAGCGACGGCTCGGCGACGTCTTCGTGCAATCGGCTTGGTGGTCGGGCGTGTCGTACAGGATGAATACCAATTCTTTTGATCGGTCCAAAATTCTTTTTGAAGGAAGACAGAATACGCCAGTACCGCAAACAACAGTTCTTAAGTAGAGGTCCCACACCCATCGTCCACTGCCATCGCCGTCAATCTGCCCCCGAGTCCCACCATATGCGAAACGACGCCATGCTTTAATATTGAGTGTGTGCCTTCAATGACCTACGACTTTGATTAAACTTGGGGGTTATGTCTAAACCTTAGAAAACGGCCCGTGACCACAGAAAAGAGAATGAGCGAGACTCAAACCGGCCAGTTCTCGATCGGTGGTTGTCGGGCAAAAAGAAAGCAAATTTCAAGCCGCAAATTTTGTTCTGGGTAGTTGGACTCTCGTCACGTACAACTAAAAACCTCGGCGAGCATAAATACCCTGTCAGTGTCCCTTTAAAATTATATCTAAATTTTGTAAAAAAAAAAGCAGCAGCAGAAATTATTACTGTTGGTTGCCAAGGAATTGAGATAGCATTCATTGTGAGACTCGCGACGCAGCTCACTGTGAATACGACGACGCACACTATTTTACAAGTGGTTTACGAAACGATCATCGACATCAGTGCGACTGCAGCGCACCACTCCAAAATTGAGTAATTGCTTTGTCTGTGTACAATCATTTAATCTTTGGTCTGTGTAATTGTTTTATGTTCAAGCTGCTTCCCCACCATCATTGCAGCTTTGTGCGTGTGTCTTGTCCTGCCTCTGTAATCGTTTAATGTTCAAAGTGTCTCACCATCATTGACCATGTACCAACTAGCTCAACCCTAACTGATAATTGCTTCTTAGCTTGGGCGCAAATGTAAATGTGTGCATACTGCTGCTCCGTGTATGTGCGGCGCGGATTTATCTGCTTACACTGCAGCCACGAGTGATTGCTTTGTAGCTTGGGAGCAAATGTGCATGTGTGCGTACTGCCGCTCCGTCTATGCACGGCACAGGTTCATCTGCTTGCTAGGACAACGTCAAAGACTACCTCTAGGGTGATCTCAAAGACTACCTCTAAGACGTTGTCTAGCGACCTCTAGGACAACTTCCAGGAAGACTTCAAGGACTACATAAGACAATGTCTAGAATGACGTCTTAGAAGACCTTAAGTATGACGTCTCTGACAATGTTTGCATACGGACGGCATCTGCACATGCGAACATCCTGCATTTGCAAAGGCGCCGTGCTGCCGAATGCAAGGCACATTTGAGGTCAGATCCTGTATTATGAAATAATGCAAAGCTATTGGAATATCCTGAGTACAGTGCGTGGATTGTGCACCTACGGTTTGTGGCTGTAGAGAGCCTGAAATAAGAGTGTGTTTAACTGTTCAACTCAAACCATGAAGAGCGTGTGCAATTTAATGGCGGCATTAGAGATGACGGATTATACCATTTTTCGAGTTTAAAAAATACTTATCCTATTGGAACAAAAATGGCATCTAAATAAAAGTTATTTTATTCTTCGCAATCAAAGTAGCCAAATGAGAAAACTTTTTGACTACGACGGGAACGATTTGAAATGCAAGATTGAAGGGTGTGGCATGAAGATAAAAGGAGACCATGTGGCTAACCTTGAGTGGCATGTCAAAACTTTTCACCCTGACATTCACGAGACAGCAAAAACGCGAGAGGCTTCAAAATCCTTAAATACACGCACAAATAAGCATTTGGCCTCGTTGATAAAAAAGACCTCGTTCAACAAGGTTTTTACCGTCCTTCCTCAAGTCAAGAAACATCCAAATGACAATCAACAAAGGAGTTATCATCGAAGCATGCATAGAAATGGTCACAGTAAATGGACGACCTCTTGCATTGATGTCTGACTAGGTTTTCCGGAAAATTGTGGATTACCTTCTCCAAAGCTCTGATGCAAGATTTCTTTCAACCCCTCGCAAGAGGAGTGACCCTTCGCGGGGTCCGGTGCGCAGCGCACAGGCTTCAACTGGCCGTAGAAGACTCACTCAAAAATGCGGACGTGAAGGCTCTTCTTGACAAGCGTCGTGCACTCCGTGAAAGCTGCATGTACTCCCAGCAATGATGCTAGTCAAGAAACTGAATCTCAAGAAGCCGATCCTAGATTGGCCAACTAGGCGGAACTCTACCTGTGACATGTTGGAGAAACTAATCAAACTCAAACCCTTTTGCATCTACACGGGGAAAGCGGCACTGACTTTGTGGTGAGTGACGAATCCTGGCCAGCTATGGAAGGAATCATTGCCAGTTTAAGGCCTGCAAAGGTCGCAACCAAGGCTCTTCAGAAGAAGCAGCTGGGCCTCTGATTTCTTCGGTATATGGCTGCAGTGCTCACTGGAAACTGCAAAGGTAGGTTTTTGTTCTGGCTGAATGACTGACACTTCCCTTAAAGCAATGACAAAAAGGTTTGCCTTGGAACAACGCTTTTCAAGCCAGCATCCTCGTTTAAACGTCCACCTAGAACATGAGAAAAAATCTGCCAGGGACCACCTGATGAAGACTTCGGTGGCTATGAAAAAGGTGCATAAGCCTCCTTTGGCAGCCCCAGTGTCTGCCTCGTCCGACGAAAAATTGGCAGCGGGTGACTCTGCCTATGATTTACACGCCTTACTGCGACTGAACGAGATGGAATAGAAAAGTCAACGAACAAGCTTACAAGCAGCGGATGCTTCGATCAGGCCACTGCTTGACTCCTTTGGAGGACCAAGACTAAAGAGATTGGAAGATATTTTCAAGTACTGGGAAAACCAAAAGAGTATAAAACCAGAGCTCTACGAAGTGGCGTCAGTCGTCTCAGATGTGCCTGCGACACAAGTAACAGTAGAGAGGAGTTTTCAAGTTTGAAGTTTGTTCTTTCCCCACAGAGGGCAAACCTCAGCGAAAAACATTGATCTCTATTATGCTTGTTCGTAACAATGCAAGCAGAATGAGCACCTGAGCTTTCACAGGTGTCTATCTTTCTGCACCCCTACCGTAACGTTCCGAAAAGACGCCCACCCAAAATGAAGAGATAAAAGGTGAAAAACATGCGATGCGCTATCTTTGGGGATGTCCCAGCAAAACTTTATCAAAAATTAATGATAAACAACCTGGCACCGGCTACAAATTACGTGACGCGGGAATTGATACCACGGATTGCGGACACCGCAAATTCACATTTTGCGATGCGATAAACACGCGGAAATTCACTACAATCTCATGTGTCGCGGGAAAAGATACCGCAAGTTGCGGACGCAGCAGATTTGCATTTCATGGTGCAAAGGACCCGCGAAAACCTGCCAAGAATTTGCATCTGACGAGAATGAATACCGCAAATCGTGGACGCCGCAGATTCCAGCTTTATGGCGAAATAAACATGTGGAAACCCGCTACAAACTTCCTTGTCACAGGAACCGATGTTGCATGTGCAGATTGTGGACAAAAACGCAGGAATCCGCTACAAACTCTTATGTTACGGGAACAAGTATCGCAGATTGTGAACGCAGCAGAATCGTGTTTCACGATGCAATACACACACGACCAACATGCATGGAATCGACACGCACATATCGCAGACAAAAATGCGGTAACCCGCAATAAACTCGCTTGTCAGATGTGCTGGTACAGCAAATTGCGTAATAGATGCGATTCCCGTCAAACATTGCGGG